AATATCAATCGAAATGTTCCTTGACTTGTAAAAAGTGTTTGAAATATTTCGAATGATGACATGTGCAGAATTCAGAAACCCTACAGCTTATAACATTTCTCCGTGGGATTTTTCAGTCTTACAATTATCTAGAAAACATAAGAACTAACAATGAATTATTCAAATTCTGGGCTTTATGGAAATTTCAACAAATTTTTGAGTAGATTTCACCTCGAAGTGAAATGAGTGCAACTCATCAGTAACTGTAGGATAGATGCCCTGAAGTTCTACTGAAAATTTGTGTCAGGTAGGGTTCATCACTAGGTCAGAATAAAGCGGGAGCTCCTAGATGGTACTTACTCACGGTAATGCTGTACATAGAGCTGCCAGAAAAACAAAATTCACAGACTGAAAAATTTCGAATCAGTGACTCAATAATCAACAGGCTCGTTTGGTAGCCGAAGTCTCCTTGGTTCGATCCCAGGTTGGGTCATGGGTACGCATTTATAAGGAGACCACCCAAAGTAGGACAAGATGCTCGATTACAAGGCAGATGGAAAATATTTTATTTATAAATCACCTATCGGCAGCAATAAATCGGGAAAAACTGTCATAAAAAGTCGGTTATAAATAGTAGTAAGGAAAAAGTCAAAAATAAAAACTGTTATATCAAATGTCAAATAAACCGGGCTAAAAAAAAATTGAATTTCCAATCCTTCACCGGTTAGATCGATAATAATAATAATAATAAAAATAGTGATAGCAGTGATAACCGTCAATGATGATAATGCAAGCATTATATTTTATATTCCGTGTGTGTGTTTGTGTGGTTGAGTAGATATATACGATTTTTGGTACAAAAAAGAAACGCTTCCCATGTATCCATCTTGGCATACTAAAGTTTTTCTACCTTCTTAATGCTAAGTTCACAACTAAGTCAACCAATCATACGAAAGTTTAAATGGCCTTAGGCAATGAAAGTAACCAATCATTTTTAACCAGTCGATATAACGCTAGCAGGCCTATTGATTTTAACAATATATTAGCTGAAAATCATTCAAAATAGTGATATGTATGTATGAGAGTAGGGAAAAGTTAGTTAGAGAACGCTCAGTTAGTTGTCAAGTCTTCCTCACAAGGAAAATAGGTGAACAAAAATAAAACTGGAAAATCAAACTAACTTTCAAATATGAAGACTCTTGTTTAGAAAAAGACGAAGTAATCACATTCACTCCAGATACTGAAAGTCATTTGAATTCAGACTATGGGATCTATGGGCATTCAGATTAAACTTTAAACTGTTAGATTTCTTCACAAATCAACATCAGTTAGCGAATAGACATGACTAAAAACCACTGGCCACACACTGGCCAGCTAATTCGTCCTAGTTTAAGGACTCTTAGGCAATGGGATCCACACCTGGGGGGCTTTAGGTGCATCCACTCCTTGTGACTTATGATTCCCAATGAAACTGTTTTGTTCTTCGTTATTTCTATACCTTTGTCTCATACCTCTGTTTACTGTCTATATTATTATGCATTTCTCCTACTTTCTTCTCTTGCTTTGTGTGCTACAAGTAGGGAGTGTGGCGACTTGAACTGCCGCACATATGTGCAAAGTTCTATGTCGAAAACCGACCGACCGACCGATATTCTCTGAGATGAGGCAAAATTTTCCAGGTGTTCATTTTCACTGATATAAAGTTAATTATTCGGTTAGTCTGTTTACACGTGGTTATTCGAACTCAGTTCTTAGAACATGACTTTGATGTCCCAGGTTAGTGATGATACTATTCAGTTACAGTCACGGCTGATATGGGTGGGATGAGATTTGAATCCTCGGAGCCCCCTTGACTGAAAATTGAGTGCTTCAGACAATAAGCCACGTTTATTCCGTACTCATAAATGCAGAACGAACAAATTGTATCACATATCCAATGAATTAATATCCTAAAACCTTATTCGGTATGCTCTTGGGATGATGACTATGACCTTGTACTATATTACGTGTTTAATGAACCTATAAGTAGAAATACTAATGATGTGAATTTATATAACAGTCTAGTTAGATGTAATCTTTGAATAAACATAATTTAGGGATAGATTTTTTATTTTTATTTTATTCCTTTACGTTCCGAGTGGAACACATAGGGCTCAAGGCCATAGCTTTGAAGTTTCGCTAGCATGGGTTTTATTTTTACTGGGTGGGATCGCTAGCCTCAAGCTCAACTATCCGTCTTTACCGGCCTTACCACTGGCTTAGAGAGGTTTAGGAGTGTGCCAGACAGGGATCGAACCCCCAGACTACGTGTGTGTGGTTGGCGAGAGTTCTACCGATAAACCATAGCTACATTGTTTCAGTTAGGGAACCACTGAAAACCAATGACCACTAGACACCTGTTTCGTCCTCGTTTGGGACTCTTCTGCAGTTCGTGAACTGGCAAAGTTAAAACTCACTGGATACCTTCCCAGTGACTGAACCGTTAGCGAGATGCCTTGTAGCCTTGAAAGTCTTGGATTCACACCGCAGTACAGTACAGTCATAGGTGTGTACTGCTGAGAACTAGGTTCAAATAGATATCCAGTACCCCTTGTTTTTCAAAAGTTTCATAGGTGATTTCAATCTGCGATCAAACTTGAAACAAATCAAATCTTTAAAACTAACTCCTCTTGAAAATTTCTATATCGATTTACGGAATCAAATCTTAGTAAGGTTTTCTCCTTTTAATAATGTGCAATTATGAATTACTGTTTTAAAAATATCTGCTTAGCTTCTATACGTATTCCGATCAAGATTTGACCTAATAGTTACAAAAAAAATAACTGGATGTCGAGTGAAAAGTAGACATACGTTAACAAAATTACATTTCTGTATAAATCTCAGCAATCTATGTGTATTTACCTGTTTGACTGCAGCTGCGTCGTATTTCCGAACATCATCCAGCATGGTTAAGGAAGGGACAAACAAGATCTATTCGTAGTTCTATTTTAGCACACCTTGTTGATACTGAGCATAAGGTTGATGTTAATACTACATTTAAAATTATTTATCGCATTCCGACTAATCTTAATTTTGCTCTACGAGTTCGTCTTCTACAGACAGCTGAAGCAATCGGAATCCACCTTAAGAAGCCAAGCCTATATGTTCAGAAGAAATTTGTACAGCCACATTCCTTACCGTGGCCATCTCTAGAAGAATGCATAAACAGGACTACGTCGCCCCCTCCACCTAAACCTTTAAAAATTATAATTGTCCAAATTATTTTTATTTATTTTCACCACTTCATCCTTGTAAAACTAATTTATTCTATCCATTTCTACCTTTTAAATGTGTATTGATTTTCTTCCTTAATTATCAACCCAGTGACATTTTGACGCTGTTTAATTATTGTTAACAAACATATCACCACTTGTTTGGTAAACTGTTGTGTATTGTAATAAAAATGCTATACGTGTATATTAGAGTAGAGCCAGAGATGAGGATCTAATTGAAAAGTAAATATTTCTTCACTCAATCTTTCTGTTTTCTAAATGTCTAAATGGGAATTTTTTCTATATTGAAAATTTAAAATAAATAATAATTCCAACGTTTCCTATACCCGGCAAACTGGTTCTAACTTCCTCAGGGAAATAAGCAAAATTAAAGTATGTAAGTGTTCATATAAAGATATATATTTCGTCTTTAAAATTCTTGTCCAAGCGGATCTGAGTCATGAACAAACTTGTATGAACTGTGATCAAAATTTGACCGGATAGCTGCACAAACCTATTATTATTATTTGAAGCCAATTGGTGGATGGTGACTAGCAGTGAAATCCACCAGGATGCTGATTTCGTCCTATTTGAGACTCGTCACCTAGATGTGTCTGCATTCCACAGTGATTGATGGCGTCGTCCCTACTGAGGCTCGAACCCAGTGGCTATAGTTTCAAATGTCAAAGCGTTATATCCACTAGAGCACTTGGGTCACGGGAACCATTTCTTATCATTATGAGTCTATATTGTTATACACTTTAAAGTGTGTAATTTAACATCAGAGTTTAAAGACAATGTTTAAATAAAAGTCAAGGTCACCCAGGATGTATGCAGTAAGGATTTTTGTAGAGTGTTAAGCGGTCAAATCTTGAACACATCATGCAATTTTGTTCATTTTGTGTTTTCGATGACTATTCTCACAAGTCAGACATGATTGGACAAGAATTTCAAACGTAGGATGATGCCTGTTTTTATATGTATGTATATATTTGATATTTTAATTTTGATTATTTCCCTGAAGATTATAGGGACCATCAGTTAGCCGAATGTGTGATACGTTGGAGTTCTTAACTTGAATTTAGACGACATACATACACAAGTGTAATTTTTGTATATATTTGCTTAGTTTCAATAAGAATCATTTTCTAAGTGAGATAGCTATGGGGGTTTTGAATCCAGCCAGGATTCAGATGGATTTTCATTTGATTATGGATCAGCACAACTGACAAGTCAGTGAATTGGTCTACTGAGGGATAGAAAGTATAACTAATGTAATCGGTGTGTCCTTGGTGTTAGGTGGTGCCATAGTTGAATGTCCACCAGATAGCTGCAGAGGATGCTTCGGGTTCAACTCAAATGTGATACACTCCTTTAGCCTGCCTAGTCTAACTGGCTGGGAATAGTTGGACATGAAGCCAGTAAAGAGGACAACACCACCACTAGCGGAAATTCATGAAGCTTGAGGTCTTATATTCCATTCGGAAGACAAGTGATGACAAAGGGAAGTCAAGACAAACCAAGGGAGAATTGACCAGTTGGTCTAGAATCTCCACTGCTGAGTCTGTTTTGTATGGACACCAGTGGTGATTTTTTCTAGTAAAATACAAAGCTTTGGAGAGACATCACTAGAAGATGGCAGCTCGAACTGCTGCACTTTTGTGCAAAGTTTTACTTTGAAACTCACATTCATTCACAATAAGACAAAAAAACACATCATTGATTATTACGCAGAACATGAATTTATATACACAGAAATAGATGACTTACATTCTCGATATTGTCAATATAATATCCTGGAGCACATTCACAAATATAATTATCCATACTGAAGGGAGTTGAGTAATATCGTTTGTAAACGCACTGTAATCAGAAAATAATGAGACAGCAAAAAAAGTGAAAGCTTTCTTAAGGATTTTTTAAGTTAGATTATTTATTAAATAGCCAAATAATAATAATCAGGGAAATCATTTGCGACGGTAGGCAGCCTATCGTCAATGATTTTCCTGATTGCAGTAGATTGGATAATGTGACAAACAGCGGCGGGCAATGAGGAAACAGGCATAAAATGAACTCACACAAAAAACTTCGAGGATCTGGACTTCGCCGATGATATATATCTGATTTCCCACAAACTGGAAGATATGCAAGTGAAAAGCAACAAGTTGGCAGAAGAAGCATCAAAGATAGGACTTCAAGTGAACATAGAGAAAACAGAGGTGTGATGAAGATTCCTGGGCAGCACCATCAACAGCAACAACAACAGACAACAATCAGCATAAATGGAAGGAACCTGAAAGAAACAACCTCTTTTACCTACCAACCTGGGAAGCATCGTTTCAAATACTGGAGAACGGAACTGATGAGGATATCAAAGCAAGAATCGGAAAAGCAAGGCAAGCTTTCACTACTCTCAAGTCTGTGTGGAGGTCAACAGCACTCACCATCAAAAATAACATCCAGATTTTCAACTCCAATGTCAAGTCAGTCAGTCCTACTCACCATACGGATCAGAAACTTGCACTGCGCGTCATAAACAGCATCTCAAACAAACTAAAGACCTTCATCAACAGTTGTCTTCGCTCAATACCACTCAAGATCAGATGGCCAGCTGGCCAGAAAAGATCAGCAACAGAGAGAGATCTCTGGCAATGAGCGAACCAACACAGCAGGAACCGATTGTGAAACAAATAGGCAGGAAGAAATGGAGATGGATTGGCTGGCCATACTCTGAGGAAACAAACCATCAAGTGACATCACTAGACAAGCTATAGCTCGAGTGGAACCCGAAAGGGAAGCGGCGAGTTGGTCGTCAGTGCAAGGGTGACTTGGAGGAGGTCATGTGAAGTGAAGAGGAGATGAAAACGTGTGGGCAGACATGGAGCCAGGTGAAAACTCTAGCAGAGAATCGAACGCAATGGAGACGCACGGCTGAAGCCCTATGCTCCTCTAGGAATTAAAGGAAACAATAATAATAATAATACAAATTGTCTCTGCGGAGTGTTGACTGATAGAATTTAATCAATACCAACAATACTAAATGTCGTCAGTGGTTCAACAGCAGAATGTTTGCCAAACGCACAGGTGATTCAGGGTTCGACCCGTAGTCGACACACTAATAAACCACTCTTAGCCGGTAGCAAGCCCGGCAAATAGGGAAGATTGGCGGTGAGGCTAACCTCCGAAACTCCAGAACTAGTTAACTAGATGCATGATATTTATCGCACCCTGATAACCAATCAGTGTATCTATTTACAGTTCCACACGAGGTAAATTGTGAATTTAAACAGTTCAGTCGTAGAGTCTCTTAGAATTAGTTGTTTCAACGTTACAAAGACACCAGCCTGACGAGGGTCAATAAGCATGAAACCTAGGTGTCTCAGCTATCTTGGTGATCGCTCCCAACTAATAAAAAGAGTATAAATCTATTCCCATATACTACAGTATATTCAATATATATTCTCAAAAACATACATATTACAACAGATCGATCGAGTGGGTAGTTTTGTTATACAAGTCAACAGCGAGTGTCTGGAATTTTCACTTGCATCCAACAGATGAAGTTAAGTAGCCCATGCCTATTGTTATGCTTAATACTTTGACTTCTAGGAATGACAATTAGGAATTCCAAGATAGGTATACTAAGAAGTGGCATGGTGGTGAAGTGGAGATTATGTGGAGCTGTAGAGCCAAATTGAAAATAGACTACAGTGAACAACAGAATTCAATGGAGATTTGTTGCTGAACCCCTTTGTTCCGCTCTAAACTCAAGGGATGAATAATTGATTTAATGACAAGAATTGATATCAGTAAGAGAACCACTGAAATATAAGCACTAGGCAGTTTGAATGTGGTACTCTGCAGAAGTGCTTACCCATTAATCCACCAACGACCGAACGCACAGCCAGGTTACGTACGAGAAGACCACGTTAACATTAAGTTACTGCGTGGGAACAGAATACATCATAAGTTACAAATTCTGTCGATTCGCAATATAGGCTTGCAGTCATCCAATGTAATCGATAAGCAACTGACAAAACTCCTAGCTTGTGAAAACTTCTCATTATTTAAATCGTCATAATATCTTAAGGCGAAACATGCTTTTCTGATAATTAGATCGCCCCCGATGCAACCCTACTAAGGTTTTCCGGAGAACTCAGTTGATGCTTCACGCCGAAGTAATTTAGCTTATCTAACATCATGCAGTCAATGTGAAATTAAATACATATTTCGAGGTAGTACGGTGAAACAGCTAGACTTTCTCTCAGCACAGAAACTTAGAGAAATCCAGATTGACAGACTCTTAAAAGACAAAGAATTTAGAAAAAAATCTCACTCATATAATTGCAAAAAATTCCCACAAAAGTGCAGAATAAAGTGGAACTAACTGACACCACCATGCCAAGGTGATGCGGATGCTCACCGAAGGCATTGCTTAGGGATAGAGCTATATCAAGAATTGACAGAAGTTAGGATCTACAGGTCACCGAATTCCAGCTCAAGTGGTTGAACGGTCGACCAGTTTGGCCTCATTAGCTGAAGGTCCTGGGTTCGTGGATGAGAACTGCAGAACAGTCCCAAAACTAAGACAAAACAGCTGTCGGGTGCTCTGTGCTTTTCAATGATCTCTAACTGATCTACATTAAAATAAACACTAAAACGTCAGCGCTGTGATATAGCGTAAACTCAACAGGATATTGTTTAGACGACCTCATCAACACCTACCGGCATGATTATCCAAAAGAAGAACGTAGAACAGTCAACACCTCAATTCTAGAGCACAAAATTACTTGTGGTCATTCAAAATCACTAAGTCCTGGGTCACAAGGTGGCTGTTTTCTTATTTTCCCGGTAGAAAACAACATACTGTTTTGAATGGAAAGCGCTCCACTTCGTTGCTAATTAAAACTGGTGTGTGCCTCAAGGTGCTGTACTTTCTTTTTTTTTTTTTCTTTTCTTTTGCATGACCTTCCATACTCTTCCAAAGCTAACTTCATTAAATATGCAGATGATCTAACCATTTCGGTTCCGGTAGTTTCTGCATTGGAAAGTTCTTATCTGAAGTTAACAATCGGTCTCACCTAAATATTCTTAAACTGAATCCATCTAAATGTCATATTGAAATAATAGAGAAGGTTTGTAGCTCAGGTGGATGATTTTCAATTAAAAGTGTTCTCTCAGCTGGTTGGTTTAGTTGCGAAGCTTTCGTCGTCTTTCCGGACAACATCTTCAGCGCTATATTTAGCACAAAGTGAAATGATTTAAATTTCTTTATGCGTGATGTAATTGCGTCTCCTGGTTACTATCTTCACATATGTCTTGACCACTTTCTATTGACTTGGATTTTAAACTTTCTCGTCACATGATTTACTTTTTATTAATTGGTATATTTCATCTATATTAATGTGTTTGTTAATCGCATTTTCGCTTGAGTACCAGGCTTCTAGGAATTCTCCGGCACTTTTCGTGTTTCCTCTGTTTAAGATTTTGACATGATCCCAATCAAACTGATGACCATAATTGTCTGTATGCATTGACACTAACGAATACATATCATGTCTTTTAACGGCTGATTTGTGTTCTTGGATTCTGATTCGAAGGGGGCGGCCACTTTGGCCGATGTAATGCTTGTTACAGTTCATACAATTTATTTTGTAGATGGTATTAATTTTATCCCCTAACAGCCAGAATACTGAAACCGTTAGATATAGATATAGCACACAAACCAGTAAAATCGCTTAATTCGATATTATGCAAACCAAAAGATCCAACAGAAAAAGGGGATAAAATTAATACCATCTACAAAATAAATTGTATGAACTGTAACAAGCATTACATCGGCCAAAGTGGCCGCCCCCTTCGAATCAGAATCCAAGAACACAAATCAGCCGTTAAAAGACATGATATGTATTCGTTAGTGTCAATGCATACAGACAATTATGGTCATCAGTTTGATTGGGATCATGTCAAAATCTTAAACAGAGGAAACACGAAAAGTGCCGGAGAATTCCTAGAAGCCTGGTACTCAAGCGAAAATGCGATTAACAAACACATTAATATAGATGAAATATACCAATTAATAAAAAGTAAATCATGTGACGAGAAAGTTTAAAATCCAAGTCAATAGAAAGTGGTCAAGACATATGTGAAGATAGTAACCAGGAGACGCAATTACATCACGCATAAAGAAATTTAAATCATTTCACTTTGTGCTAAATATAGCGCTGAAGATGTTGTCCGGAAAGACGACGAAAGCTTCGCAACTAAACCAACCAGCTGAGAGAACACTTTTAATTAAATGTCATATTATTGATTTTAGTTTCAGAGGCGAGCAAGACTTGCGTGGACTGTTATATTGACGGCACTCTGATAGGGCATAAATCGAATATCTCTCATCTCGGCATTAATTTCTCTTCTTCCAATCTCTGTTGGTCATTTTATATCCTGATTTCTAAGAAAAATTTTCGTTTGATTTTTATTACATAAAGAAGTTGAGGCTTTCTGCAAAAAAAACTCAACCTCTTATGTGTGCGTCGGTGGCACAGTGGTTAGGACTCTCGCCGACCATGCACATGGTCCGGGGTTCGAACCCCTGCCGACGCACACCCGGTATCTATGGTCGGCCTGCAAAATTTGGGCTACCGATATCCATGCTGAAAATGTCATACTTGTACTGAAAATACGGTGTGGCATCAAGCTGTAATCAAAATAAAAAATAAAAATAAAATTTATCAATTCACGTATTCTACCCATTCTTCTTTATTCTTTGCCCTAATTCTTCCCTGGACTCCTCAGAAAAGACCATATCCTATCATGTAGAACAGTGA